TCCTAATCTTTGTTCCTCTGTACATGATGTCTTTTCTTCTGGCTTCTTTTAAGATTTTCCTCTTTGTTCTTGAATTTGAGCAATTTGACTATGATGTGTCATGGTGTGGTTTTCTTTTTGTTTCTTGTATTTGGGGTTTAAGCTTGTTGAATCTCAGGGTTTATTATTTTTCATCCTTTGGAAAATTCTCAGCCTTTATTTCTTCAAATATTTTTCCACCTCCTTCCTCTCTCTCCTCTCCTTCAGGAACTCTTGGACTGCTTGAAGTGTTTCCATAATTCAGTGATCCTCCCTAACACCCTGTCTCTGTCCTTCTCATCCTTCCTTCCTTCCTTCCTTCCTTCTTCCTGCCTGCCTGCCTCCTAGACTCTTTTTCTGTTGATATTCATTTTAGATAGTTTCTATGACTGTATCTTCAATTTCACTACTCTTTTCTTCTGCAATGTCTTATCTGCCATTACTCTCATACTGTATTTTTTGTTTTATATATTGTGGTTTTCATTTCTAGAAGTTCGATTTGGGCATTTTGTGTATCTCCTCTGTCTCTAATTGGAAACTGCTTAATATGTCCCCTAGCTTCTTGAGTGTAGGTAATGTGTCTGAATGTCCTTTCCCACCACTGCCATACACACACACACACACACACACATATTTTATTGGATGCCAGATATTATGAGTTTTACCATGTTGGGTGCTAATCATCTTTATAGTCCTTAAAATCTTTTGGAGCACAGTTTGGGATATAGGGAAGTTACTTGGAAATAGTCTAATTCTTTTGGGTCTTGTTTTTAAGATTTATTAGGTGGGGCCAAAGCAGCATTTATCCGAGCTTAAGTTTTCCGCACTGATAAGTGGGCTGAGACTCTTATTAGTAATCTAATTGCAGTTCTGTAAATTCAAAATTTTCCTTCCTCACTGTTGGTTTGTGTGTGAGCTATGGACACTTTGTGGGTGGCTATTCCCTCAGTCATGGGTAATTATCAACCGCAAGAAGGATTTTCTGCAGGTGTATTTCGTTGTCTCTCTGAAGCTCTCTCTTCAGTGCCCTGGACTGCAAAATAGGCATCTTCATGTCACCACATTCTCAGTTATATCTCCAAAACGCAGGGGAATCGCTGGGGTCAGACAAATGCCACCTCTCTGGACCATAGTCTGGTAGCTTTCTCTGTGCATTAAGCTGCAGGAATTGTAGGGCTTACCGTATTTGTTTTTCATCTCATGAATCACTGCCCCTTGTTGCCTGATGTCTAATGTCTTAACAGTCATTGTTTCATACATTTTATCTCATGTTTTAGGTATTTCAGATGGTAAGATAAATACAGCCTCTGTTACTTCATCTTGGACAGAAGCAGAAGTGTCCAAATAGTTCTGTAGAGCTGAATTTAATACGTGGGAAAGTGGCAATGTAAATTTCTGAGAAAGGTTTGGGTTATTCATTGAGTGATAATGGCTCTTTTTTAAATGCCACTGGGGAGATTAGTGTAAGTTCTCATATAATACTGTATAGTACTGTTAATCCTGAAGAGTTTTATATTTCAAAAACAGAATTATAAAAAGTATATAGCACATGCAAATACTCCCAGAGACACACAATATTCAATATTCAGTCCCAGGGAGTGTGAAGTTAAATGAGTGTCGTCACATATAACTGGTGGCCATGTAAACTGTTACAACCCCTTCATGTTTAATTAAAAAAAAAAATAGAAACCGAAATAGTATTTTAGACCTAGTGATTTTTTTTTTCCTCTGGGGTGCTATTTTATGGGAAAAACTAATAAAAGATACTTTTTATGTCAGTTATTCTCTTTGTATATATTTAGTTGAAATTTAGAAACAACTGTTTGATGATAGGGGAATTGTGCATCCCTGTGTATGTAGCCACTGAAAAAAGCGTTTATAAAAAGTTTATCTAAAAAGAATTATGTTATGTTGTAAATTGAAATAAAATAGGTTTATACTAAAATAGGCATGATAAGTTGAGCTTATTAACATGTTAAATTGATAATGTATATCTTATTGTTTCAACTATAAAGTGCATTAAAACATGTATTATTAATACATTAAACAAGTGTAAGTAGACTGATGCTTAATGTCATGCACTGCTTTATGTACATGTGGGCATAGATAGGGAGGGGAAGTAAGGTGTTTTACACAGAAGACATGTAGAGTGCCACAGGATCAAATAAATAGGCTAAAAAATGTGTTTGGAAAGTGAAATTACTGTTTTTTATTTATATTATAAGAATGACTTATCTGATACTCATTGACATTTGTATCTGTGTGTTTTATGAGCAGGCAAAAATCCTTGCAGTGTGTTAGAGTCATAGAATCATAGTTTTTTTTTAATGCTCTCTTTATTTGTCCTACTGAACTTTATACAATTATCCTAAGCTTTTTTTCTTTTTTTTTCTATATGCCCCCAAAGAGTTTATACTATATAAATTAAATATATACTAATCTAAAAGACACAATATATTTAATTTTATAGATTTTTTATTTATATAATATGAAATGCCTTTGTATTTTACCATCTACTATTGTTGAAAATGCCTACCTGAAACTGATGAAATTTGAGTGATGAAGAGGTGTACTGAATTTGATCTTCTGATTAATAGATGTCATGGTATTTGGTTGTTTTATTTTTCCAGGAAAGTTGAATCTTACATTTGGATACATTATGTTTCTTTTCTGCTAGTTTTTTATCTTCATGTATTCCTCCAGGATATGCTCAATTAATAACCATGTCTGTTAGGTTCTAGGTGAAAAGTAACTCTTGAGAGAGTACAGAACATGTTTTGTCCTTCCTGTATTTCTTGGCATCTTGCAGAATGCCTGGCACTGGTGATCAATACAGTTTCTGAACAAATGAATAAATTAACTGTAGAAAATGAAGTAATTTAAATCATTATTTATGTAATAACAATACCTTTATACTATATAAAATAAACCATATTATAGTGTTAATATATATGGCATAGTTATCTTGGTATTCTAATTCTTAGAGTGTATTCTCTACCTATCTTGTATTAATAGTTTATGTCATGAGAAGATGACCAAAGTGTGTGGTGAATAACAGAGTGATATTATTGTGTCATTATCTAAGTCTACAAAACAGTGCCTGGTTATAATATTTTGTAACTTAGTTAACTGTTTTAATTCAGTAGTAGAAATGCAAGGACAGAGATACCAGTAATTTCACTGCAATAATGTCTTATGATAAAAATTAATTTCTCTGCTGTGCTTTAACTGCTGTGTAGATTTATGGAGAGTGTTATGGACTGAATGTTTATGTCCCTCCAAATTCATATGTTGAAGCCCTCATCCCCAAAATGATGATATTTAAAGATAGAGCCTCTGGGATCTAATTAGATTTAGGTGAGGTCATGAAGGTGGGGCCCCAATGATCAGGCTAGTGTTCTAGTGAGAACAGGAAGAGACAAGAGTACCCTCCCTCTCTCTTTCTCTCATGTGAGGAGATGGACAGAAGGTGGTTGTCTACAGCCAGGAAGAAGATCCTCACTAGAGTACCACTTTGCTGACACCCTGAAGTATGACTCTCAGACTTCCAGCCTCTAGAACTGTGAGGAATAAATTTCTGTTCTTTTGGCCACCCAGTCTATAGTACATTGTTATGGCAGTCTGAGCAGACCAAGAAAAAGATGTTACTGAGAGACAGAATGCTGCTGTAACAAATACCTAAAAATGTGGAAGCAGCTTTGGAACTGGACCATGGGGAGAAGCTAGAAGAGTTTTGAAGTGCATGTTAGAAGAAGCCAAGATTATTTTGAAGGGACTACTAAGGGCAGTTCTGGTGGGAGGTCAGAAAGGAAAGCAGAGAGTTGGAGATGAAAGCCCCCATCTTAGAGAATGCGTAGATAATCATGAACAGAGTGTCAGCAGAAAGATAAACGGTAAAGGCTGTTCTGATAAAGTCTCGGAAAAGTAGAATGTGTTTTTGAACAATAGTGAAAAAATGATCCTTGTTATAAAGTGGCAAAAAACTCGGCTGAATTGTATTTGTGTTCTGGGGTTTTGTGGCGGGTAGAATTGCGATCGATGAAATTGGATATTTAGCAGAGGAAATTTCTAAGCAAAATGTTGAAGGAGTGGCTTGGTTCTATCTAATGTTATAGTGGAATGAGAGAAGGAAATGAATTTGTTAAGCAAAATGGAATCAGTACTTAAAGATTTGGAAAATTCTCAGCCAGTCTTGTAGCAGAGAACACCAATGGTATGGACAAAGAGTCCTTTTATGAGATTAGTATTTTTGTGAACTGCAGACCTAATCAGCTACTCCAGCAGAAGCACTGCCAGTCTGAACTGAAGGAGATGGAGATGGGATGAAATGAGGGAAGGCAACTGGATTTCTTAGATCCTATGGGACAGGACCATAGAGCTATCTGGCTATGAATGTACTCTCTTCTTCAAGACTAGGGATGAATGATTCTGAAGGTGACTTTAGAGATGCAAGGCTTTCGACTTGGTCTGAGAGGGGAGGGAAGTGTACCATTGCCTTGGTTTCAGCAGACATTCAGCAGCCACATGAAGCATCATGGGTCACAGTGCTGCTCAGCATAGCCTGATTGGGGGGTCATGACCCCTACTTGTCATAATCAAAAGACTTGTGTTTATCCACTACTGTTGTTAATGATAACCCAAAACATTACCACACTTCTTACCAACAAGCTCAGGGAGAAGTTTCTCTTCTTTCTTCTTAAATTTGTAGGTAAAGATAATTAGTGATAGATGTCTATTAAGAGAAAGACAAGAAAATTAAGGAACTTTGGAAGAATTTCACTTGATATATTGTTTTTATCAGCAGTGCCACTCATAATATTACGAGTTCTTATATTTATTGTTACCCAGTGTCCTTCAGTACATTTCAGAATACTGTTTGTAAACATTTAAACAACTTAAAAAGGCTTTGTGATTAAAATGCATTTGCATCAAAGAGGTTGGTCAACATTCCTTTATTTTTTAATTTTTTCTTATTTTTATAGGATATAAAGGGCTATTGAACTGCACATCTATTTGGCTGATTCTCATCATGAACCGTGCTTTTAGCAGGAAGAAAGGTAAGTGTCCCCACTTAAAGGACCTGGGAGCCAATTCAATATTAGTGTGAAAATTACACAGAGATCTTAACATCTTCTAGTTTCAACCAATGGCATTATTTGGTTGAATTTTAATTTGAGATGCAAAACTGGAATTTTATGAGAGATCTTAACATCTCTGTGTAATTTTTTATTTTACTTATTTTCCTCAATAAGAGGAAGGCAAAATGACATTTATTGCAGTCTGTAGTTTGCTTCTGATTTTAAACATATACTAAAAGTAAAATAATGTTTCTTTTAATTCCCTTTACTAGCGAAAAATCTAGAAATAATTCTCTGATGTATGGAAGTATTTTGAATAAAATAATAAAAATCTTCTATCACAACTCATCACTCTAATCACATTATCTTGTTTCTTAAAAACATTTCTAGACCTTCTCTTTTTTTATTTGCTTACAATTCCCCTTCCCATGATTTTAAAGTTGAAACTTCACATTTCTAATTTACTCTTTGTTTGAAGGGGGTTTGGAGTGGTTTTTCATTGAGAAGTCCCAAGAATTGGATAGTAAGATAAGTAACTATCAATTGTATGTTTGTCTCATTTGAAGACAGTGAGAGTACAACCATGAGGAAAATTAGAGTGATTTAGAGCATCAGGAAGCTGAAAGAGCAGAAGCACTTGTTATTTCCTGCCTTGTTGCATTCTCTTTAAATTTCTTTTGACTTATTGTTTCAAGTCTGATGATTAAATATTTTTATCAGGAAATTAGTGATCAATGTTTTACTCTAATTCCAAATTAGAACTTGACGTCAAAAGTTTTACTTTAAATTCACCAATCACTTTGGACTCTTATTTAGTAGGGCTGTTAAAGGAAAAATTCTTGGGGGCCCGTGCTTCTAGTTTCAACCAATGGCATTATTTGGTTGAATTTTAATTTGAGATGCAAAACTGGAATTTTATGAGAGAATTTATATATCCTAACAATTGGGAGCTGTAATTATAGCCCTAGAGAATATATAATTCAAGCCATCTTTCCAATAGCTAGCATCAACATACAGTGTACTATACTCGAAACAAAGCAAGATGGTCTTCTATCAGTAAAAGCTTATCTCATATTTCATAGATATTCAATTTACTTGGTTATCACAGGCAACCTTACTAAATCATCTTTGGCCTCAGAAACCTAAGGAAAAGAGATAATTATCTTAAACATGATTTTTTTTCTCTTTTTATTAAATCTCCCAATTAGTAATTTGTCTGGTATTCAATTCTTTGAATTTGCTGACTTTCTATGCAAATGCTTTAATGGTTAGTAGAGTTGCTCATAGGTTTTGAAAAAGACTGAATGCTTTAGAATTGCATCAATTTGGACTATTTTGAAGAGGTCTGTAAAAATTATCTAACCTCATAATCGTTGATTAAATTTTAATGAATATATTTTAATAGTTTCTTTCTCTATGTTAGCTTGCTTTTTGAATTTTTAAAATCCTACATTCTATTTATTATATCAAAAAAGAATCATTTAGTTAAAAAAGTGTAAAACACAGCAAGTGAATAAATGTGATTAAATAATTCAACTAATTATACTTCATATTCTTTAACTTATCAGTTGACACTAATTAGTACATATAATCATAGTGCAAAGCATTAAAAATTCAATGATATTTAATAGTATTTTCTTTTCTATGAAAATGTTATTCAAATGCATGCATCTGACAATATTTAATTTTATATTTAATATATTCAAAGTAGGTGCTTTCACTATGTTAAGCTCTGGTGATATAAGAATAATGAAGTTTACTGCATCTTTCTTGATGAGCTATTACCCTAAATACATTTTGAATACCTAGATTTATTGACCCAGTAGTCACAGTGGTTTGACACCTGTCAAATAGTTTGCAATGATGGCATTTCCTTTTGTGTGAATGTTCAGTATTGAGTTAGTGATAATAGTTTAATTTCAAGGAAGGGAACACATTCTAGAGTGTCTATGTTCCTGTTTCTACACCAATTCCATATATCTGATATCTTCTGTGGGTACATGTAGTGACCAGGGACCATCATCTGTACCCTCTCTTCAGGGTCAATCACATTTATATGAGTTAACACAAAGAGTTTTGTTCTGTCAGTTTTTTCTTTTGCCAAAGTATAAATTAGAATGACATGAAGTACTCATTTGGGAAATCCTTCAGGTTTAATAAGTGCACTGCTTATACCAGAGCTATGTGATGAATAACCGCTAAACCGTCAGCCCTTGATGTATGGATGTAGGTTTTTGTTGTTGTTGTAATAACTGCAGCTTATCCACTATTTAGTTTTGTAATTAATACTGTGATTATATTGGTCTGTCACCAGTAACAGCTAGATATCCTACCCTCTTTCTTGGTTACTGTACTATGAGACTATGACAAAGGCAGTATCATCAGTTTTCAAATAATAGTGGTTTACACGAGAAAGCAATTATCTCTCTGCCTCAGGACTGGAATGAACCATCATATTCAGACTTTAGTTAGACTTTACATCCTTCTGAGCTATGTGGTGTGTTTTAGAAAAGGAGACATGAGAAGAATTGAGTTAAGGGGTAAAAAAAGAAATTGGATATCTTTTTAGGTTTCCTGAAGGCAAGTCTTTGATGTTTTTATTGTTTTGGTGTACAGTATTGTGATTTATTTATTTTAATATACAAGAGCAAGACTATATCCCACATCTAAGTACAAATTATTCTTGAATTAATTATATTACTATCCAGTAGCAATCATAGAGAGAAAACTGCAATTAAAATGAAAATCCATACAAGAAATAAAAGTTTTACACATTAATGTTAGTGTCAGTATGTCAATATTGATTTTTGAAGCTTAGAATGTATTGCTTCTCAAAATATTTCACACAAGTACAGCTGTCACGAATCCATGTCAGTAGTCAGAAATAGCACTGAAATGCACCATGAGCATTTTTTATTGATCCCTCATGTTTTGTCTTAGAAATTCTTTTGAATATTGCATTGTACCCCATAAATATGTTTACTATATTTTTCCTTTAAATGTTTTAAAATAATTAAAATTTCAGAAACCTATGCCATTATCTCTGTCTTCACATTCGCTCAGTTTGAGAACGTACGAATATCAAACTAGTTTTTGTTAACATTACTTTTAAATGTTCTGAACTGAATGTTGAAAATATCTGTTAGTAATCTGCTATTTTCTTTTAGTATGCACTTATTTAATATTTTTCATGGTAAAAAATTTGTCTTTGATTTTATTCTGTTTATAAGATTGATTCTAAATTTTTTAATTCCCACAAGGAATAAAATACTCTCAAAACTCCTCTTAAGTCATAACATATCTGAATATTGAAAAGTTTTACTGCAGACAGATGAAGTTTTTAAAAAAAAAAATTTGATTTGTATAAACATTAACTCTTTTTTCTTTTTTCCTGCTAATATGTTCCACAAACTATTTTTGGAAGATATGTGGAATATGTAAATAAAATTCAGAAATTGAATGAAAATGTATTTTCTATTTCTATCAATAATAGACAATACAAATTAGTTTTAATATCTTCTATCTTCTTAATTACTTTTATTTCTATTATTTTTTACACTAGTTAGTGTAATAATTTCAAGTTACTTTTTAAATTACTGCATTTAAGGTTATTTAAGTCAAGGTTAAGTCCGAAACTCCTGGTAGTGGACACTGAATCAGTGTTTCTCTAAATTGAGACTAAAAAATGATTCTAATATTACATTGATTTTTAAGTGAACTTGGTAGATTGATTTATGTCATCTTTCTGTAAGTGAAGTTGTTAGATTAATGTTAAAATTTCCCTTTACTACATAGTTAATTCTTTATGCTAAGGAATAGTAACAATCATGAGTAAAGAGCAGTTAACTATTTATTGAAAAGGGAATTAAGAATAATAACCTGTAATTCATGAGAGTATAGAATGAAAAAAGAAAGATAACACATAATTATTCACATAACTGATATAATTGCTCATAGCCCAACTGATGTTATTTTTTAATATTCTTTAGACATTCAGGATTGTTTTATCACTTGAAAGTTTTTACAAGGAAAAGATTTTATATTAAGGAAAGAATCCTATAACTACTTTCTGGTTATATTGTTCTTATATATGACTAGATATTCTTTCTCAGTTTAGTAAAAGAATCTCAGAATTAGAAGTGCTCCTATCCATAGACTCCTTACAAATGGTAGTGAATGAATATGGCACCCTTAGAACCTGTGATTTAATTTAACATTGTGTATTCTTCATTGCAGACAAAACATGGATGCATACTCCAGAAGCTTTATCAAAACACTACATTCCCTATAATGCAAAGGTAAAATAGTTTATATGATATTTGAAATTCATTTTGTTTTAGTAATATTGCTAATTTTTGGTTGAGCTGAGAAAGATTGCGTATGCATTGGTATTTCTTCGTAGATGATCCCTGAAAAAAATTGCATAAATAAAATAATTTTGTAGTACATAATATGGGAAGTTATTTTTTCTTTCCAAATAAGTATTCTTTTTTGAAAAGACTGTCCTTTGTTCTATTTAAGTCATAAATTTATTTTCATCAAACAATTTTGGCTATTGTTAAAATTATTTGCAATATAAAAGACTGTCCTTTATAATTTCTATTTAAGTCATAAATTTATTTTCCTCAAACAATTTTAGCTATTGTTAAAATTATTTGCAGTATCATGGCCTATAGGAAATGAAACAACTGACAAACTTATTTCCTTTAAAAATAGTTAATGTTGCATTACATAGATGAATATAAAAACTAGTGTGGAAATATGCTGCAATTTTAATGAGTGTAGTTACCACCTCCAAAAAAGGAGACAAACAAAACTTAAACTATTAAGACAACATAGAAAGAAGTGCATATTTTTTAATCTTTTGTTCAGGTGGCTGCATTTAATAGGGAAATTTAATAAAGAAATTTTAATAGAGAAATAAAGACATAGATATACTCTATGTCTTCAAGAATTGATTCATTGCTGCTGTTGGAAAACGGGACAAATGAATGAATGCAATTTACAAAAGGGTCTTTGAAGAAAGGTGTTCTTTTATAATTAGTGAGTACTAAACCTGAAATAGACTTCAGAGAAATCTAAATTTGGAAGACACTAAAGTGAATTAAAGAGTTGGGTTTGGGGATAACAGAGTGAAAATAAGAGACTTAAGCAACTGACCTTCAGAGATGGCATGGGGGAAAACAGAAAATGATAAAATTATTTTTATAAGAGAACAGTGGATTAGTAAACTGTACACTGGCATATAAAGAGATTAGTTATGAAGTATTATTCCAGGAAAAATGTTCTAAAACTTTATTGAACTGGGAGTCAGTAGTGTTTAATAGGGAGCCTCTATAGTGCTGGTTTGAGTCTGAATCAGCAGGAAGTAACATTTAAAAGGCCATTGAGAAGAAGTTCTTCCAGACGGTGGCTCTGCAGTGAGCTTTGTGGAGCGCAGCAACTGTATGTTTTCTTGCTGACTTTGCAGCAAAAAAAAATGCTCAAAAATGTTTTCTGTGTAAAACTAACATACTTGCAATCACTACAGTACTTGTGAATTTCCCTGTAAACTTAACATGAGGATTGATTACCATGATTTAGCATGAAAAGTTTACTTCACTGAGGGAGAAAAAAATGAGTTTATATTATCTATCTCTTCCACAGATACTCTTCGTGTTAGCTATTGATACACTAGATGAAATCTTCATAGAAAATTTTAATCTAGAAAGCCACTATTATTTTAAAGCACATTCTCAATTTTTTTTAGTATTATCAATCATAGTAGAATTATATCCTTCAAGTGAAACCAGCAGAGGTTATTTTTATAAATGATTGAAGTGCCTCATTTTGAAAAATTGGTTTTATAAAGGACTGAAAGATTATATTGCAATTAAAACTACCTTTAACTCTTTGGGTTAATATGACAGTGGAGATCTGCTTGTCTACATGGAAAAGTAGCCTGTGCGAATTCACAGGTCCATAACAACTGTAGGATATCCACACAAGTAGAGGGTGCAGAAACAGCTTCCAGACTGAGATCAGTAAAATGTGGAAGAGCAGGTTGGTTTCATTCATTCTTACGGCCTCCTGAGCGAAGTCATATGTACCCAGGTAGCATTAAAAATATTTGAAGAACATTATTTTTTTTTCCAAATTCCCTTTTTTTGTGGCACTTTTTAAATTGATTGTTTAGTAGTTATTATTGAAAAGTTTCTCTGTTAGAGTGTATGCCACCTGAAAACCAAATGCATGTCCACGAGAAGTAACTTAGTGCAACAGAAAAAAATATAGACTCTAGAACTAGATTGCCTTGGTTTATATCCTGACTCCAGCACTTACTAGCTGTGTGTCTTTGGGCAAATTAATTAACATTTCTGTGTCTATGGTTATTCATCTGTAAATAAGGATAATAGTAATTTCTCATTAGAGTTGTTATAGACATAAAGGTGTTACATGATGAGTTAGAGTAGTATCTGGAATAAAATAACTAGTCATAGATGTTAGCAATTATTAATTGATTTTTTATTGTTCACAGGACTTAACAAAGTGCCTGTTTCATAGTAGGTATTCAATATATATGTTCAATGAATTAATGCATAATAGTCTTTCCAAGATAAATGCAAAATAGTTACATTTTTTTGAGCCCCAATTTATGCTAGACACTGTGCTGGTGTGTTTTTACATGATTTAGTGTTTCCATGGACCAGGACAGTGATTATTAATGTTATCACCACTTTATATAAAACTAAGGCTGAAAGATTAAATAATTTGCCTTTTGTCACAAAGCTAGTAAAACAGAGCCAGACTAAAAAAACGGAAGTCTATCTGACTTCAAAGATTTGCTTCTTTTTATGTATGGAATAGCACTTAATTATTCATTAATTCATTAAATGACTATTATATATAAGGCACTGTTGCTAAAACTTGGTAGAATGTTGCTGACACTTCAGAGCTACATGACACATGACATATATCCTTGGAGCTTATTTTCATAGGGGAATTTCTTACCAAAATAACTAACATGAAATGCAGACCTGTTCTTTGCCATTCAAGTGGCACTTGATAGAAAGCTATGGCTATTCAGAGTATGACGAGTCACTCCTGTTTTGTAAAAGTAAGAGGGAGGTAGAGTTTCCAAGGGTCAAGAGTGGAATGACCATTTCAGGCTGAGACATCTAGAGGAGGAGCTCTATCAGTGAGGAAAATGGCAAGAGTTGGGCTGCGCATGAAGTACTAAAGACGGTAGAGTACTTGATCAGTCAAGGTTCCATCTCGGAAACAGAACTAGTAGGATGTATGCATATACACTTTTATTTCAGGGAATGAGTTACACAATTGGGGGGCTGGCCAGTGAAGGCTGAAATCCATATGGCAGACCATCAGGAAGGGCAGCCCAGAAACTCCAGGGCAGAAGGTGACCACAGGGGGAGTTTCTTCTTCTTCAGAAACAATAGCAGGTCTGTGTCAGTTCTGTCGAGGCCTTTAAATTGATTGCATCAAGCCCAGCCAGATGATTCAGAATAAACTCCTTTACATAAAGTCAACTGATTATAGATATTAATCATACCTACAAAATAACTTCATGGCAACACTTAGATTAGTGTTTGATGGAATAACTGGATGGTATAACTTGGTGAAGTTGACATGGAACACCGACCATCTGAAGTAAGAATAATAGACAAGGCTAAAAAGATGAATTGAGAAGACCTTGAATGGCAGGAGAAGCAGTTTGTGTAGTAAGCTAATCAAATAGGATTTGGGGAAGATAAATCTATAGTGATCTAAAGTTAATTTGGATCAAGAGGGATAGGATAACATTAAACTTATTAGGAAGCTATTTTAATAGTCTAAGGGTATGGTTCTAAGTTTATAGAAGGTAGTAGATAAACATATAGTGGAAAATAAAGATGTGATAAATATTCCAGGGGAAAAACTGATGCAACAGAAGAATAATTTGTATATGAGGAAAAAAGAAAAATATCTGTTTTCATCCTGGCTAAAAGGTAGAATGATCATACCATTGGAACATTCCCATCATTTCATTCACTTTTGGCATCCATGGTTAGACATTAATACAATAAATTTAACAGAGCTGTTTAAGAATTAAAATTCTCCCTGGGGAAATATGTAATAACATTTACATTTAAATATTTTAAGTTTTAAAGTAATAGTTTCCAGCTTTTATATTCTAGTTCCTTTAGTTTGTTTTTTAAGAACATATTTTAGTTACATTCTTTCACGTTATAGAAGATTCTATTTCAGAAATGTACGTTTAATATTTATAGTGCACCTTTTATCAGTTCATATGTAGATGTATAATAGTAGTTGGTTTCAACAGTATTTTTCTGTGTAGATTAATTCACTTTGGTTTTTTTTTTTTTTTAATAAGCAGGGACAGCATTAAAACTAGTTCATTGGGAATTCTACATATTTACCTGTGCACTCTGTTTTTCAAACTACTGGTTATGCTCCATGAAGAAAACTGTGTAATGAAATCAATGCAGTGGGTGATAGAAGGCATGTATTTAAAGATGAAATAGGACAAAAGAGAAAAAAAATTCAGAATACATGTGGTAAATATCAATTTGTTCCATAAAATCGTGGTTCATAATCATGAGTTTGAAAACCATTGCCTTTAAACAGTGACCTGCCTTTAAATATTACCAAAGACTTTATCAGATTTAAGTAATTTAAATCCTAAAATAATAACGAGGATTTACTTAAAAGAGCAATTAAATTTTTAATAGATGATCCACATGTAAGTTAACCACATGTTCTCATTGAATATTACATCTTAACATGATTGCAGAAATATGTGTATAAACATGGTAGGAGTGACACAAAAATATAGTAAAATGTAAATATAGGTTCATTTGTGCACTCATTCACACATGTACATATTCATTTGAGTTGAGCTCCTAATTTATGCAGGAGGAATTGATTTATGCCAATGGGAATTGATTAGTGATCCAAATAAATAAAATCCTGCCCTTCTGGACAGACATACAATAAGAAAGTAATGCATGTAATTTTATTAATACAATATTAGTGTTATCTATGCAGTATATTATATATTATATAGTGTATATTTATTAGCATATATAATGTAGTAATAACAGTATTATATTGATCAGTACAATATTCCAGGCTGTAATAATTGCTATGGAGAAAAATAAAGCAGAATATTGGGGATTGGGAGAAGTGGGAAGAGGGGTACTATGTTACATAAAGTGGTCAGAGAAGATCTCAGAGGAGGGCAGAGGCCCAAGGGAAGTGAGGGAGTGAGGCATGTGGCTGCCCGGGGGAAGAGTATTCC